TTCTCTGTTGGTTACAGTCCTGTGGGATTTAGAGCACAAGCCCTTCTGGCCACCAGAGCCAGGTGACGCAGAGGTGTCCGCTGGCAGCGGCACAAAAATCAGGGCACCAGACAAGGGTCTAAGCTCCCTTCTGGAAGATGCCAGTGAAGCAGCTTAACTCTTGAAACTGATAAATGTATTACAAGTATCTTCCAGGCCAACCAATCTAATCAATGGCACAAGGCAATTCTTTCAACTTAAGAATGTTCTTAAGGAATTTACTCATTTACTTACAAGTTCACTGTAAGAACCGGCACCATGTCAAACAGTATCTGAGATCCAGTAATCTCATCTTATTTTTGCTACTGTTCCTGCTGAAGGTGTTAAAGTCTCAACCACGATGGCTACTCCTGTCCAAAACACTCAACACCTTGACTGGCTCAACAAACACTGCTCTGATGTGTGACAGCCCCCATCGAGGGCATCACACAGGCAAAACCCCAACCCAGGCACACTTCACTTATCAGGAATCAGCTATCTGGTGACATCGGGTCTTCACAGAACCCAGTGAGAGCCAAGCAGAGGAGTTAGGAGCTGTCAAAGTACATGCTGAAGTCCGTGTACTAAAGCACATGCACTTCACTTAGAGGAGAGGCTGCCAGGCTTTTACTGCAACACTAGTTCTTCTTATTTTAAGCACAACAAATTTGGTGAGCAATTTCCCAGGCATCAGCATATTAGGAGAAGAAAATTAAGAGGTCTAAGAAAGCTAAAAAAAAGCAGACACAGGCAGAACGGCAAGAAAAGAAAGATGACACCCAAAGGTGAAACACCAAAACTACAAAACTAGGGGGTATGTGCTTAAGGAGCAAGAATTCTCTATATTTGAATTATGACACCATACAGAAATTAATGGTTATAATTATGACCCTGGATCATCAAAAACAAAAATAAAAAAACCAAGTTAAACTACTTTAGATCTAAAAGGTTCAAAGAAAGTAGATGACAGAACTTTAAAAAAGAAATAATTAAAAATTAAGTATTACATGTATAAAGAGTCAACTTTCTACCATTTACAGAATAAACTTTTTTTGAAATATACCATTCCCAAATAACACCAAGCATGTAACCCCAAGTTACTAACCACTTCTGTGACTACAGGTCCCACCATAATTATGATACACACACATCGAATCTGAAACAAAGCCTGGAGCCGCTGGTCACAGCTTATTGGTGGGAACACTATCACACACACCTCACCTCGGACACCATCTCCCAGGCTGCCCACCACTCTGTAACAGACCTCCACGGAGCCTCACCACCACACTGCCTTCAGGGGGCCTGGCGTGAAACTGGCTCATATGCGAGACTCTCTCAGGAGTTTTTATGACACTTTAGTAACTGTATGTGATGGGGTTTAGAGAGCACAGTAGAGGGAAAAGAACATCCACGGGCACTGGGTACACACAGCCCAGGTCTGAATCCCTGCTTTGTCAATTACCCATCGTGTCCCTGCAGCACATCATTTACGCTCGGAGACTGACTGTCTTCATGTGGAAAATGGGAATAATGTCATCAACTTTGCTTCCTGTGAGGAATAAATGAGACAATATATTCAAGACATCAATGTAAGTTTTCAAAAAACCAGCTATTATGATTATCAGATGGGAATAAGGAAAGGAAACTATCTTAATCCATGCTAGGACAAATTTTGTGAAATTGTGGGCTATATTAATGACAATAATTAAAGAAGAAATGTCTAAAGAAAAGGGCAGGCAGGCTGACATGATGGGAAACTGCTCCACATTCCGCAATCAGGTAGATGCCCTCTGACTCACAGGTTGCTTCAAGGGAAGGTAGGTCAAAGCGGGGACTCATAAGAAAAGTATACACATACACTGCAAAGACAATAACCTAAAGCAGTTAATGCAAATACTCTGATAAAAGGCCAGGCCTTCTCGCCGAGGAGAAGCCAGAGCTCTGCACCATCTCCGTACGGAAACATGACCCACACCGCAACGTCTGGGATTGCCAGGGTCAGGCGCTGCACAGCAGAACAAGAACAGAAAGACATTTGGAAAGCAATTCCTTCCACGTTTGTATGATTTCCGGCACCCCCCCCAATCTTTATAGTTTTCTTGCTAAAACTAATTCAATAGCAACTTCATTTAAAAAAAGAAAAAAATCTCTTATTTATAGAATCTTTCCAAAACATTAAAATTACCTTCCATAACAACAAAAACCCATGAAAGAAACATCATAAACAAAATTCCATACACAAATATAAAGAAATAGGTATGTCACTGGCATTTGCAATTTATAATAAACTTGACTGTGCAGGTGAAATGTTCCTATCTCAGCAGATGTATGTGAAACACGCGTTTTTATAGAGTTCATACCTGGTGCTCCGGCTGCGTGTCAGGTCATAAGAACAAGGGTAGCCACTGCAAGGGGGAAGCACCTGCCAGCGTGAGCAACAGCCTACTAACCACAAGGAGGAGACCAGGGAAGCTATTCGTGTAAAATAAAACAGTACTTCATTTTTAAATTACCAATACATTTTCTTCTTTTGAAATCCAACATGTTGTTTTTGAGATTTCTTTTTATTGCGGTAACACTGGTTTATAACATTATACAAATTTCAGGTGTACCTCATCATATTTCAGTTTCTGTGCAGACTACGTCAGGTTCACCACCCAAAGACTAATTACCCGTCACCGTCCACATGGGTCCTGTCACCCTTTCGCCCTCCTCCCTCCCCGCTTGCCCTCTGGTAAGCACCAGTACCGACACATGTCCTATTAATGACAAACGATCTGTTACAGCTCCTGCTGAAGCACCCAAGAGCTCAGGATGCCTCTCTTGAAGCATAACTTTAGTGCCACGTATCTTCACACCCGCATCACCCTCCTCAACAGGAATTCTTGAGGGACGCCATCATTAGTTCATGAAGACCCCGTCACCAGGATTTCAAGAACAACAATCACAGTAGTAGCATACGGTTACTATACCAGTTGCTGTTCTAAATCTTTACAGACACTATCTAATTTAATCCTTTCAACAATTTAGTACACAGTAGATACAGATTACAGTCTTAAAATCTGAATTGACAGACATCCTACTTAGATATTTCTTTACACCTTACCATTTTTGACTAATCTTGTATGTTACTTGATAGAGTAAGGCAGTCACGCCTGAGCCAGTGTCTCTCACGGCAGGCAGCGTAAAAAGTCCACTTTCTCTTCCAGGTATGCCCTGATTTATACCACCCGCCACACTAAGACAGAATACAGCTTCTGAGGATCTGAGGCGGTGGTGGACTGGAGCCAGACGGCACCAGCTAGGGAGAGCTGACTGCACACGTGGTCCCTACTCCACATTCAGTAATGTCACATTGGAAACCTCAACTTGGCCATGGTGGGAATATTTTATGCCACAGAAAAAGGCAAATCAGGGCATTTTTTTTTTCTTCTTCTTCTCCCCAAAGCCCCCAGGTATATAGTTGTATATTTTTAGCTATGGGTCCTTCTAGTTGTGGCATGTGGGATGCCACCTCAGCGTGGCCTGATGAGCGGTGCCATGTCTGTGCCCAGGATCTGAACTGGCGAAACCCTGGGCCGCCAAAGCGAAGCGTGAGAACTTAACCACTCAGCCATGGGGCCAGCCCCAAATCAGGGTTTTTTTTTTAGCGGAGAGCTGGCTGTTAAACACTTACCCACACATCACTGCTCTGAGGAAATGTGTGTTTCTGTTACATCTGTCAGGCCCTAGTCAGCCTCAGGGAGATGAGCTCACGGCTCCTAACTGGGTGAGCCCAGCTATTGACTGGACCTTTGGAGGTCCAGAGCCGTCAGGAGGGAGGCAACCCACTCTCGTAACTAATCGCTTAGGTCTGCAACAGACTCTTCATTTCTACAACACGGCTCATTCTTAAACATCACAAACTTCTTAACCATGTCACCCATCCTACCTAAGACGCCAGTGATTATTAGATTCACCATCATTTTCTGTACTATTAAGAAGAAAAAGTACTGCCAATTAAATTGATATACCATCAACTGTAAGATGCATCCTGATACCAGAAATATTAAAATCTAAAAAAATGTGCACTTTAAAAATGGATTGATGGCAAAAAAATCATTTCCATCATGTTTGCTGTTGTCTTCAATCTCAGAATCTTAGTTCAACATCTCCTCTCACTCTTGAGATTCTACTCGTAAATCTCCCCCCTTCATGGTTTCCCCAATGCAGATTTATATTCACAAATATCTTTATCTACACAGTCTATAAACAGAATGAATTCTGTTTATACGAAATCATATAATAAGAAAAATAATAATCCTGAGAATAGATGTAACATAATACGGAAAGAAAATAATAAAGCATCGGAATTAGGTGGAGTGAGAGGAAGGAGCGTGAAGAAGTGGAAAGAGGAGCTTCTCTGAGAAGGGAAAGCGACTGTGGGACAAGGCGGCGATAAGGGCTGCTGGAAAAGGGCCTGAGCAGCACCTCCTCCTACAAAGCTGGTTTTCCCCTCCTGGTGCGGAGCGGCTGAACAGCAGGATGAACACTCACATCCTCCCCAAAACTGCCCTTAGTGCTTTGAGAAGACATGAACCTGGCCTAACTCGACTAACAAGTATTTTTTTTTTAAAGATTTTATTTTTCCCTTTTCTCCCCAAAGCCCCCCAGTACATAGTTGTATATTTCTAGCTGCGGGTCCTTCTAGTTGTGGCATGTGGGACGCCGCCTCGGCATGGCCTGACGAGCGGTGCCATGTCCACGCCCAGGATCCGAACCATCGAAACCCTGGGCCGCCGAAGCGGAGCGCACGAACTCAACCACTTGGCCATGGGGCCGGCCCCTAACAAAGTATTTTTTAAGCACTTCAGCTTCTTCTTCTAGTACTGTTATCAAAAGAAATAAGTATCTTTTCAAAAATCGCCTAGGTGCACTAACACTCTCGAGGTATCCCAACTTCTCTAAACACCCTCAAAGTGTTTGGAAGGGCTGCTACTTACTCTCCGTCTACTTCCGGTCTTCTACACACACAGTGGAACTTGCCGCCAAAATCTATATACAGATCATTCTCCACGATATGAAAGATCCGTCCAATGACCAGTTTATCCTTGGCAGGTCCCATCTGTGTCAGAGGAGAGTGTCTCAGCATAGACGCGAAGGATTCCACATTTTTCAGAGAGCCCTAAGTGTGAAAAGAGATATTTATATGCATATAATTCAATATAAGGGTATAATACGGTAGGTATAATAAAATCTTCCAGTGGAAATTTTTAAAAGTCAGCTTGCTCTACATTTCCATTGTATAGCAATAATAAAAAACACTGAAGTGGAATTTTGCTTTAAAAAGCCAGGTATGGGGGCCAGCCCTGTGGCGGAGTGGTTCAAGTACCACATGCTCCACTTCAGCCGCCTGAGGTCGTGGGTTCGGATCCCAGGTGCAGACCTACTACACTCACCAGCCATGCTGTGGCAGCATCCCACATACAAAGTGGAGGAAGACTGGCACAGATGTTAGCTCAGGCTAATCTTCCTTAAGCAAAAAAAAAGCGGAAGACTGGTAATGGATGTTAGCTGAGGGCCAATCTTCCTCATGAAAAAAAAAAAAAAGCCAGCCATGCTCTTCAACTTCCTCTTCCTCCCCTTCCTTCTTGAAGAGGAGCCAGAGAGAAGCAGGCATCTGCACTTGGTGGGGGATGGTGAAGACGCGGTGGCCCAGGGTGGAATCTGGAATCCAAGCAGGGTAAGGAGAGTGTCCTAGACAAGGCTTCCCAGCACGGGCGAGGGCGAGCAGGAGGGTGTCAGGTGTCAGAGTCAGAGCAAGAGGGGACGCTATTCTACAAGCAGCAGAGAATGAAGAGGTTTCTCATTAATGGGGTGACGGTACTTGTTCTTTGCTTTAAAAACAAAACTTCAGCAGCAGTATGCAAGATGGACCACAGAGAGGAAAAAAGTGGGAAGCTGGTAAAGCGTTGAGAAGCTCTTCCAATGAGCTGAGACAGAGATGACAAGGGCCGAGAGGAAGCAGTGGTCATAGGAATATGGAAGAACGGATGGAGAGCTGTGCACCAAATAGCACAGCAAGGACTTGACCGCCAGCTGACCATAGAAAGGCAGGTCAGAGGGGAGCCGGGGAGGGGCTGAAGAGCAGTGTCGGAGCAGAGTAAGTTAGTTTTGCACATGTGAGGTTTGCGATTCCCATCAAATTTCAGGGAACACTGGCTATCTGGCAGCTAGTTAAAAATAACATTGCACATAACATGGATGGACCTTGAGGGAATTATGTTAAGTGAAATAAGCCAGTTAGAGAAGGCTAATCTCTGTATGACTCCACTCATATGAGGAATTTAAAAATGTGGACAGAGAGAACAGATTAGTGGCTACCAGGGGAAAGGTGGGGTAGGGGGTGGGCACAAAGGGTGAAGGGGTGCACCTACAACACGAATGACCAACATTAATGTACAACTGAAATGTCACAAGATTGTAACCTATCATTAACTCAATGAAAAAAAAATAACATTGCACATACATACTTACACAAATTTACATGTTCACAGTGATACCATACAGAGATATAAACCCCTCAAGAGAAAGACATCAAATGCTCACTAGTAATTTCTGTGTAGAACTATTTTTTCCTTATATTAGTTATTACAGAACATCTAGAACATAAAGACTACATATTACTTTAAATTTTTAATACATATTAAGTATATATACACACATTATAGCTGTCATGCATAGGAGGACATTTAACACACAGCCTGGAACCGAGGCTCCCAGTGCTAAAGGAAACAGGAGCTGTCACCCGGTCAGCCGCCTCACGTCCCACCCGAGGACCAGACCTGCCACTCAAAGCTCATGACACACTGAACAGGTTCTTAAATACGAGTTGCCTCAGAAGACGGAAAGTAGATAGAAACATTGTTTAAAAACTTAAAAAGGAAGCCGGCCTGGTGGCGCTCGCTCCGCTTCGGGGGCTCTGGGTGGGCGGGTTCGGATCCCAGGAGTGAGCTACCCACCACTCATCAGGTGGTGCTGTCCAAAGTACAAAGTGGAGGAAGACTGGCACAGACATTAGCTCAGGGCCAATCTTCCTCATCCAAAAAAAAAAAAAAAACCCTTAAAATGAAGGAAACAATATAGCAGAATAAGAGAAATACTTAAGAAACCTGAGTTCTATGACCAGCTCAGCCATTAATAGCTAAAAAATCATGCATATGTCATTTAACCTCTCTGGATCTATCTTCGCATTTGTTACTAAAAAAAATTGGATACCTATAAATTTTTGTAGTAGGAATTCTTAAATACTCTAAAATATAAAAAGAATTTTATAAAGTAATAAATATTAAAAATGGAAGCCAATATCCTACTCAGCTTCCTCTTTTCATGCAAACAGTAACAACAAAAACAATGAAATGCTATATGTACTTTACTTCATATTAGCTAGCCAAAAAATTTCAACATGCATCTCTGATGAGTAATTATAAAGTGACTCCCTTTTATGAACCACGCTGCAACATCTTTTGTTTGCTCAACTCTAAGCAATATGCTATGCTCGTAACTATGTTCTTTTATGAAAATAAACAGATTAGCAGGTCGAGATGGCAGAGTGAGTACCTACATTTATCTCTTTCCCTCCTGGAATCCCATTAAATGATGGTAGAAGAATGAGTGAAGACATGACACACCCTCAGTATGGAAGAGAACAGAACGGAGACACAAAGCACACAAGAGATTTCAACACCTTTCCAGCAGACGGCAAGCATGGAAAGAGTGGGAATCAACGAAGCCGAGGGAAGGGAGTGCAGCTAACGATGCACGCAGAGGATGAAGCTGTGGAAGTCAGCCTCTGTCCTGAAGAAGCTCAGAAAGTGTGGGACTCAGCCACGCCAGGAACGAGAGAGAGTGGGAATGAGAGGAGAGGAAGAAAACAATGGGGATAATTAAAAGAATATACGCAGAGCAATTTTCCGTCAAGCACAGAATACCTGGCAGTGAGGCCAAGTGCACAATACTTAGTAATAAGGCACTTGTTGCCCTGGCAAATTAAATACTATACAATGTTTTTTCTCTAAAAAACATTTCTTTTGAACATGTTGTCTAGAGGAGAATAAAGTCTGGGATGGTGTGTTTTGCAGCAACAGGCAACTTACACACGCAGCAAAGACTCAAAATGACGGCTGTTCAGCAAGGCAGAGTGGGACTGGAGCGGGTGGCTCCTACTGGCAGGCTCTGCGGTCTGACAGCAGGTTGGTGTCCTGGCTCTAGCCCTCAGCAGCCCTGCGCGGGGGCACTGCACCTCGACTCTGTGCTGCCCCTTACTCAGCTAGGAAATGGGTCATAATTATACCTACTGTACAAGGTTGCTCTGAGGATTAAATAAATACATGCCCATATGCAAAGCCCTCAAACAGTGCCTCAGTAGGGCAAGCACTCCCCAAAACGAAGCTTTTTAAAGAACTAATCACAGGCCAGCCCCACGGCCTAGTGCTTAAATTTGGCGTGCTCTACTTTGGCGGCCCGGGTTTGCAGGGTCAGATCCCGGGTGTGGACCTACACCACTTGTCAGCCATGCTGTGGTGGCGACCCACCTATAATATAGAGGAAGACTGGCACAGATGTTGGCTCAGGGCTAATCTTCCTCAGCAAAAATAAATAAATAATTAAACAAAGTCAATAAACCAGTCACCAAAATACTTAAAAAACAATTAATCAATTTCTTATAGACCCAGTCACCACCAAGTTTTACTGACAAACCTAGTAGTTTTCAACCAGAGTGAGGTTGCACCCTGCTTCCCTCCTCCCCAGGGGACATTTGGAAATGTCTGGAAGCACATTTGCTTGTCATGACTGGGGGTGCTACTGGAATCTATCAGATAGGGGTCAGGGATGCTGTTAGACACCCCACAATGCACAGACCAGCCCCCACAACAAAGGATTATCTGGTTGAACACCCTGGACTAAGCGGACCCAGCAGCACACAGCAGGCCAGATCTAAGAGCAACGTAAGTCGCACAAGGGAGGTCTCGGATGGCAGGCAAGGCCAAAGGTCAAGGGAGTACAGGGTTCTGCACGATTCCAATGTCGGGAAGCGGGGATCCCCCACACCACCAATGAATTCTCTGATATCAGCTGGGTGTCCTACAATTCAACTCAGTTCTGACACTGTCTGCCCAGAGAGAGCATCCGATTCCACAGGCGAGGGCTCAGTCCCACAAGACTGCCCCACTTTAGATGCCACTCGCAAGCCCAGGTTGCCAGCTGTAGACGGGAGGAGGCTCCAAAGACCCACTCCTTGGATTCGATTAATTTGCTAGAGCAGCTGGGTGAGCTCAGAGAAACGCTTTGCTCGCTAGACTACCAGTTTATTACAAAAAGATATAACTCAGAAGCAGGTGTTTCCCACCAGATGGAAGACATGCACAGGGCAAGGCATGGGGAAAGGGCGCGGGGCTTCCACGCCCTCTCCCGGCACCACTTACCCACACCTCCACGTGTTCATCAGCCCCGAAGCTGTCCACCCCCGGTCCCCTTGGGTTTTCATGGAGGCTTCATTACTCAGACATGATTAATTAAATCATTAGCCGTTAGCCACTGATTCAACTTCTAGCCCCTCTCTGCTCCCAGGAGGTCAGGAGTGGGAATGACAGTTCCAACCCTCTAAGCACAGATTGGGTCCCCAGGTAACCAGCGTCCATCCTTAGGTTACCTGAGGGCTTTCCAAAAGTGCCTCATTAACAAGACAAAAGACACCTTTAATGCTCTTATCACAGGAAATTCCAGGGGTTTTAGGAGCTCTCTGCCAGCAACAGGGTTGGAGACAAATATATATTTCTTATTATAAATCACAGTATCAGAGGGAGTGAGATTCTAGGATATCAGAATGGCTGCCAAGTGGTTCCAGACTGGGTATGACAGAGGCAGACTCAGAAAAGAAGTTGACAGACTGATAGATCAAGGTGTGATTAAAGAACTGAGAACAGGACAAGGGTAAGACTGGTCCGAGAAAGGGCTTATGGGTCTGAGAACTGGAAGATAAGGCCATTCCAAGTGATAATGATATACAAATCATGGTATATCTGCAACTGAAGGGAAGCGGAAATAAAGGTCCTAGAATACGACACTGAAAAACTGTCAGCCAAGGTCGTGGTAAAGTCATCAATGTAAACGCGGAAGCCAAGG